TTTTAACACAAAAACATTTTGCATATGTAACAGGATAAAAAAGAAACGAGGATTAATTTAATAACGGCACTCATATAAATATATATTTTCACTATATTTTTAACAATAAACAAAAACGTAAAACAGTAACCCAATCCCGTACTAAACTAAGGTCGCCATGAGAATGAGAAATAATTCATTGGGTCCTACTCCACCTGCCAGACAACTGTTGAACTAATCAACTTGTCTTCAACCAATAGCAACGAAGTACTTATAATTTAAAAATTTTTAAATCAAAATATTTTTTTATGAAAGTCTACATCTTTAAAAATTATCTTACTAGTTTAATTCATTAATTTTGGATATTATAATAAATAAATATTCAATAGTAATAAAGCAAAAATGGATTAATAAGGAGGATATTACTTTATATACTATAGAAATAATAAATACATATTTATCTAATGCTATTTTATAAAACATGTAACAAACAATAAATTCATAATTTGAGAGAATTGTAAATTTTAATATTTAATGGAACATTGCTAAGATATTGTCATTGCCTAAGTGAACATAGTACAAATTAAATATTAATGAAATCAACTAAAAAATAATATTATCAAAGATAAAGATCCTTATTAGCAACTTATTAGTTTTAGTATATAAACACAAAATATATTGTAAAATTATAGAGAAAATGCAGCAGTTAACAAAGATTATAAGAAGTGGCTTAATTATTGAAGGTTATGTTACCCAAGAAGCAGTCGAACATTATGATAATCTTTGGTTCTTTGGCGATATAAGAAACCTTCCAATTTATTATAGTTTTGTATATTTTTAAGTTAAAACAAGTTAGCAATAAATTGGTCACTTACTATGAGGGCATTATCGAAATATGAGTGCCCATATTGAATTATGAAAAACTACTTTAAATTAAATTTATGCACAAGATAATACTTACTGTTTTTCATTGTTGAACTATAATTTTAGTTAGCTGATAGTTGAAATTTGGGTAAGACCTTTATTAAAAATTTAGGGTTGAACATGAGTTATTTATTGTACCTGTTTAGGATTTTGCAATCCTCATCGGGGCTTGTTGTTGTGTATTTTTGTTACGTTTAAAGAGAGGCCCCATAGTTCATAACTGGGGGGGGGGGGGGGTTGAGAGTGTAGCATACGTGGAGGGACAGTCGAGGTGTTTCGAAATTTTTCAGAATCGGAGGAGAGATAGGCTGCTGAATGTTTAGTAGATGCGAGTGCGTTGCCTTTCCAGTTGAGATTAAAAAAGACATTACAAATACAAACTTTTGTTAGTAGAGGTGGATTTTGTTATTAGAAGGGATTGCTGAGGAAATAGTTGCGTGCTATTTCTTCGGGGCGAACAGTAGGTAAGATTTCGAATGAGATTGGAAAACTGCAAAAACCAACATAGTCCTGTCCGGGGTTAGAATGTGGAGATTAAGTGATAAAGGGGTGATTTTAAGGCGATTTACGTACTTGTCCGTAAGTTCGTCTATGCAGGTTTATATTAGGATTAACTGGGGATGAATTTGTTTGTTTTCGAGAGGGTGATCTCGTAGGTACATTTCCAAAATATGAACAGGAAGTTTTTAGAGCTTTTTCTGGTTCTGGAGTGTGTTGTTCATAAGTTTTCCTTTCTGAGAAACATTTATAAGGGAATAGATGTTCGATTTGTACTCTATAACTGGTCGAATGTAGGCTTTGTAAATGTGGATTAAAATTTTTACATGCGTTTTTGCCGATTCGTCTCAGACTTTGCCGAGTTTGTTGTTTTGTAATGCACCATAACGTTAATGATCCAACTTTAGATATTTAGAATTAATTATCATTACTAAAAATAAACATAGTTATATTAGTTCTAAAGGTTCTAAACCTCTAAGGTTAAAATTTTGTTTTTATTTCTTAATTAATCCTAGAGATATGCAACTTACATTGTTATTAAATTTTATACTTTCAGGAATATGTTTTTTTTTAATTGAAGATGGCAGAGTCACAGAATAATAAACAATCAGAATACCCACTTTGCTTGAAAAAATAAGTACGTGCATCTCGTTCGCGCAGACGGAATCAGCCATGTTTTAAACGGAACCAGTGCTGTGCAGTGACATTTTATCTGGTGTGCATAGACAAATCAACCCGGTTTAATTTATTTACGGCAACTACAGACATACTATACACTATTTTATTCGTACTAGGTGAAGAATAGATTAAATTATTTCAAATGTACTAATTATTATCAATTTCTAAAAATTTAAATTACAGTTCTGTCATAGATTGTCACAAATTTGTCAATTCGAGTCTATGTTTCTTATGTGGGCATTCTAATTGTTTATTATTCTGTGAAAGAGTTCTGTAAACATCTTTAAAAAGTCTTGTGCATTAATATTTTATGAGAATTATTATACTCTCGTGATTGTGTATTATGAACTGAATAAGGGAGGAGCTACAGGGAAGTGGATATGTAAAGATTTTGAGAGATATATGGGCAGCATCCAGGTTTCATTAGTTTGTTCCTGCCCAGGGCTCTGTCCAAGGTGGCCATATATTCACTAGCTTACCTTCTTCTTTTGATGCCTATCCTTTGTGAATGTTGGTCTATACAACTTTGTTGACAGCTGCTCTAAATAGATGTATGATAGTCATTCCTGCCCACTGTCTGATGTTCTTCAACCACGATGCCCTTTTGCGCCCTTAAGATCGTTTGCCTTATATCTTGTCTTGTAAAATTAGTTGAATTAGTTGATATACATCTCATTGAGCATCACATGTCCTAAGTATGTCATTTTTCTGATTTTCACGATACGCATTATTTCGACCTTTATTCATACGTTGGATCACGGTGTTGTTTGTAACATGTTGGATATAGGAAATTCTGAGCATGCGACGGTAGCACCACATTTACTAAGTTAACTATTTTCATGGGTTCATTTTTAGCTGTGAATTGGTCCTGTATTACGTCGTTTTTACTTACTACAAGAATTTTGGTCTCCTTACAGTTTAATTTCATGTCGTGTCTGTAACAAGCTTCTACTACACGGTCTATTAATGTTTGCAGATCTTCCGCATTATCAGCAATCAAAACCGTATCGTTCGCAAATCTTAAATTGTTCATGATTTCACCATTGATTTTTATATCTTCTCTTAAACCATCAATAACTTCTCTGAACATCATTTCCGAGTAAGTATTGAACAACGTCGGTGACAAAATGCAGCCCTGACGTACTCCCCGTTTTATCGTGAATTCTTGTGAGGTTTTGTTGTCTACTCGTACAGTTGCCGTTTGCTCTAAGTATACATTTTTAATTAGGCGTTTATCTGAAATAATTTTTGATGTTGCACCTTATCAAATGCTTTTTTAAGTCTATAAAGCATGCGTAGACTTCGCAATTTACGTCTCGAGCTCTTTGTATCAATACATGTATGGAAAATAGGACATCTCGCGTTCCTAGTCCGCTTCTAAACCTAAACTTAACACTGCTAATGTTTTCTTCAAGTTTTCTATATATGCGAGAGTGAATAACAGAAAGCAGGATTTTGAGTGTATGGCTCATTAAGCTTATAATTCTGTAATCAAAGCATCTGGTGACATTTGCCTTTTTGGGGGGAGGGACGAAGGTCGAAACGATAGCCAATCTGTAGGAAATTCTGCAGTTTCATAGATTTTGTTCAGTAGACTCGTTAGGAGTTTGAGTTGGTTGTTTTCAAATAGTTTCAATATTTCAGCTTGTATGTTATCAGGTCCAGGTGCTTTGTTGGTTTTTAGTCTTTTTATTGCATATGTTACTTCACTGAGCGTTATTTCTGGTCCTGAACATCCAGTAACACTGATTTCTGTCTTTTGTTCTTCCTTGAATAATTTTTCCATGTATTGCCTCCATCTCTCAAGTAGTCTCTTATTTTCCTAGAGAAGATTGTTGTGCTTGTCTAATATTAAGTTATGACTTCGTGATCCGTTTCCTCCCGTTAAGTTTTTGATCTTTTTAAGTAGGTTAAAAGTGTCATGCTTCTGTTCTAGGGATTCTATTTCTATGCATTGATCTTATAGCCATGATTCTTTTGCTAGCTTACCATGTGGCCATATATTTACAAGAATTAACCAGGATCACGCGTTTAAAACTAACTTAGTTATTCGAAAACTATGGATCTAGATCTCGTTACAGCTGCTACTTCCGAAAATGAAAAGGAACTACTGACAAGTAGTCAGGCAAACCGATTTGAAGCTCAGCAAGGACCAAAAAGGCTTCGACGCCAGTTGGAAAAGGTTTAAATACGTATTGAAGTACGACTTCAACCCAAAATAAACTTGACAGCAGGCAATAAAACTTATCCAAATACCACAAACATAGATGTATACAAAAGATATTTCCGAATAGTGGAAAGATCTAAACAACCCTTTATCTAAAATATACAACTGGAATAGGTGTAGAGGGACTGATAAACTTCTATAAAAGTATGAGTGCATTAGGGCTTAGTAAATAGTTTTTTTTTTTATTTTTATGAGTCTTGGATCCCACAAAAATTTAAAGTTGACAAAAGAGACAGGGAACGGTGAAGACAGGCTATTGAAGAAAATTATTTAAAGCTTAGTATGACAAAATCATAATATTTAGAATCATTTAAGATAAAATTACTACTACAAATAACATGGTGCTTTATTATGAAAAGTAATGGTTTTAGTTTTACATATTTAGAATCAGTAATACGGAGTAAAAGGGCCAAAATCTTTGTCAAGTATATTATATTATTTTAAAGCTAACATAATTTTTTCAGAAACTTTATTTATAAATGTGGCTGAAATACCCATATAAACTACGTTCGTATAAAAACCGAAGAGTGGTGGATATTTTTTCATGTGCCAAGCAAGACCGAGATATCATATCTCTGGCCAAGACTGTTAAGGTCACAAATGTCAAATTATATTTTGTTTCTGGAAAATAACATCTGATAACATCTTGGTCTTGGTTTTTGATTATTGATTAAAAGGTAACATATGCGGTTTTATATAAATAAGGTTTTTAAATACTACTTACATACTTTAACAAGTAATTGTAGTAGCTTTCTGTAACGTATTTGTTTTAGTCATGACGTCTAATACTATCATAGATTTTTCTAAAAAATCTATAGTCTTCATCACAGGTGCCTCTAAAGGTATCGGTAGAACAATCGCAATTGAAATATCCAGAAAATTGGAACAAAGTTCTATATTAGTTTTAATAGCTCGATCTCAAACTGGCCTGGATGAAACTAAAGCTCAAATTGCCGAAATAGATAAATCAATTCATGTGGAAACAGTAACATTAGATCTTTCCAAACCAGACATTAATGAATACAACGATATTTTCAAAAAGGTAATATTTAATAATTTTTCCTAATATAAATCTGTAAATTATTGTATGGTTATACTTTTAGGTATTAAGCAACACAGATACCAAGGATATAAAAACTGGAATAGTTTTTCACAATGCTGGGCATGTTGGAACTGTTAAACAAACAACAGATTTAACAGAATTGGCTGTTTGGAGAGAGTATTATGATCTGAATTTGTTTTCAACTGTTTTATTAAACAATGTATTCATTAAACATCTTAGACCAGTTGCACCACAATTAGTTGTTATCAATATTACCTCTCTTGTTGGGCGTGTCCCATTCAAGAATCTAAGTAAGCTTTTTTTTAATTAATTAAGATATGTATCTTAATTTATAGATCAAATAACCTTGATACATGAGCTGGCAACAGGTTAATATTTGCATTTTCTATTTTACCTTTTTTGTGACATTTAATTTAGTTTTTGTAAATTTAATTTGTCTGCCTAATACTGTAATATTAGATTTAATTTAATACTAATAATTTAATTTAATTTATTTAAGTACAAACCATTTGTACTCTTTAAATTTGATTCTAATGAGAGGAGTATACATGATATATTCAATAAATGTTGAAATGTAAAATTCTAGTGAACTAGGACTATAAAAGTTTATTGTATTTTCATTACACTACATTTGCAAAAACTAGTATATGGTAGCTAAATATAAAATGGTATCTATCTATCTAATTAGCCTTCTTTGGTCCATCTTTGGACATAGGCCTCCTCAATCCTTTTCCATTCTTCTCTGTCTGTCGCTACAGTCATCTACCTAGAGCCCACATGCTTCTTGATATCATCTGTCCATCTCATTTGGCGCCTTCCTCTGCTTCATTTATGTTCCCACTGTCTCCAACTTATAAGAATTTTGTTCCAGCAGTCTTCTTTCTGTCTTATATTGTGTCCGGCAAATCTCCATTTCAATTTTACAAGTTCTTGTCTAACATCTCTCACTTTTGTTTTCTCTCTTATCCACTTGTTTCTCTTTTTATCTATTAGTCTTATGTGCAACATTTGTCTTTCCATTGCTCTTTGGGTTTTATGATTTTGTCCATGTTTGCTTTTGTAAATGTCCAAGTTTGGGAATCATAAGTGAGAACAGGGAGTATGCATTGATTGTATACTTTGGTCTTAGATGCTGTAGATATCTTTTGTTTTTAAGAATGTAGCTTAGTTTGCCAAATACCGCCCATGCCAGTCTAACTCGTCTTTTTATCTCTGCTGTATTTATTATGATTTTGGTCTTGCTCTTTCCAGCTTCTATGTCCAGTTCTTTCATCATTTCAAACAATTCTTCTTTTTTATCAGTTATCAATACAATGTCATCAGCATACCTGGTCTAGATGGTTCAAGCGTTGTCCACAATTTTTTATACCCTTTTCTTCCCATTCTAATCTTTTAAAAATATCTTCCAGAGTCTGATTGAGAAGTTTGAGTGATATTGTGTGACCCTGTCTCACACCTCTATTTATTTGTATTGATTGATTGATTTTATTCCATCATATACTTTAATTGTTGTTTTGGCTTCCTTATATATATTTTCTATTAGGTCCGTATATATGTGGTCAATTCTGCTGTTAATCAAAGAACTTTTCACTGCCCAATGTTCAACACTGTCAAAAGCCTTTTTGAAATCTATGAACCCTATATATAGAGGAATGTGGTATTCATTTGCTCGTTATATAAGTATTTCCATACTTAGTAAATGGTCACTTGTGCTGAATCCCTTTTGAAAACCAGCTTGTTCTTTCGACTGGTATCCATCTAATTTTGTTGTCAATCTATTGGTTAAAATTTTTGTGAGGAGTTTATACATTACATTGAGTGTTTTAGGAAGGTAGTTTTTTATATATGCTTTATCTCCTTTCTTGTGTAGGATAATGGTTACGGATTCCTTCTAGTTGTTAGGGATTCTTTTTCTTTTAATATCCTGGTAAAAAGGGAATGTAGAGTATTAATTACTACTTTTCCATCATATCTCAGATACTCTGCAGTTATTCCATCTTTTCCAGGTGATTTGTTGTTTTTCATTTCTTTCAATGCCTTCTTTATTTCTGATTTGCTTTAGCCTTAAGTTGGTTTTTAATTTCTTCTGGTGGTTCCTTTTTTGTTTTATATAATTCTGAGTAGAAATGGTGGATTATATTTATGATGTCATCTTTAATGTTTGTTTCTGCTCCATTTACATCTTTTATTTTGTTTATTTCAAACTTACCTAATTTTGGCCTTCAGCATTTCATATTTTTGTTTTTCTGTATTACTTCTTCTATTTTTATTTCTTGTTATTTGCTCTTATTTATAAAATATAAAATGGTATATTGATTGTAAACTCTGTGGTTATGAACTGAACATTGATGTAAATGTAAGAGCAAAATGTGTGGATATTTTTTTGTACCTTAATTGTTGTAATTAATCGATTAATTATTATCCTAGTTATTGCCCATTTTACTACAGATTCCAACGACCATTGTGCTTTTCTAATTTTTTATATAATTTTTTCGGATTTTGGCTTGGATCATCCAAACAAGAAACAGATCTCTCTTGTAAAATGAGTATAGAGATAGTAACATTGAAAAATAAAGAGAATATATTGTAGTTTCAAGCATTATAATATATTTCAGTTAATATAAAATATTTTTTAGGTATGTATGGATCAGGAAAAGCTGCACGAGAAATATTCTTTAAAGTATTGGCTCTAGAGGAGCCCAATATAATTGTTCTCAGTTATAGTCCAGGCCCTGTAGATACAGATATGTTTAATTCTATTGCTGAAACCGCTCAATCTGAAGAAGTTCGCCAGTCTTTTAAGGACATTAAGAACTCGACTGTTTTAACTACAGACAAAACTGTTAATAGGATGTTAGATGTATTGGAAAAAGGAGATTATAAGAGTGGAGATACCGTCGATTTTTATGACAGATAATGTTTTATGTTATATTAATATTAATTATGAACAAATTTGATAAAAGCTTATATAATGTGTTAACATTCCAACTATGTATTATATAAACTTATTTTATTGTTAAAAACTCAAACTTTTATACAAATCAACTATGTTAGTCAAATCACGTAGCCAAAGGTGGCAAATTTTTTTTCAAGGTCTTTTTTATCATATAGTAAAACTATAAATAAAAAATAAATGATTGCGAATTTAAGTGGTGTGTTTAATCCGGCATACCGTTGTAGCATTTTTATTTTCCAGTTTGTGAGAAAAATTTCCATTTGGAGGTCTGTATTTGCTGAAAAAGTGGAGAATTTATAATTCAATTTTTTCTCTTTTCCGGCAAATTGGGGTTAGAGGATCAGACTAAGACACATGTTTGTAATAAGCTGGACCGAGTGCATGTACCAAAACATAAAATTTTTTTTTAATTAAAATTTGAAAAAAAAACATTAAAGGGGGTACCCTTGGATTTTTATCAAATTTCGTTATTCAGCTATATTGGCGTCAATTTTGGTCCGAGAGTCAAGCGAGTGGACATTTCTTACATAAAATTGACCGCTCGTTCTTCTGCCAGACTCAAGAATTTTCCTACATCTAACGGTTCGTGACAAAAATTTCCATTTGGAGCTCTGTATTTGCTGAAAAAGTGGAGAATTTTTAATTCGATTTTTTCTCTATTCCGGCAAATTGGGGTTAAAGGATCAGGCTAAGACACATGTTTGTAATAAGCTGAACCGAGTGCATGTACCAAAACATAAAAAAAATATTTTTTAATTAAAATTTGGAAAAAATCATCAAAGGGAGCCTTAGATTTTTATCAAATTTCGTTATTCAGCTATATTGGCGTCAATTTTCGTCCGATAGTCAAGCGAGTGGAAATTTCTTACATAAAATTGACCGCTCGTTCTTCTGCCATACTCAGAATTTTCCTACATCATAAGGTTCGTGAGGAAAATTTTCATTTGGAGGTCTCTATTTGATGAAAAACTGGAGAATTTTTAATTTGATTTTTTTTCTATTCTATTCTATTCAATCTTTTTTGCTTTGTAATATTATTTTTTTTTGTGACTGCTACTGAATTTTTATATTTTAAATAGTTAAATTTGACTGCATTTTGTAAAGCAAAAAAGCTTCTTGTTGACATTTAATGGCATTTGCACATCTCTGATTCCACCAAACTCTGCTAAATTCTGATTTGATCTCTGTTCTCTTCTGTGGGATTGCTAGTTTTGTAGCATGATTTAGTGACTCTATAAAACTTTTATAAGATCTTTCGTTATTAATTTCATCTAATTGTTCATATAGTACCTGAAAGAAAAAGGACCAGCCAGCTTTATTTAAATTAACTTTGTTTTTACACTTAAAGGATACTTGAGTAGTATTAAAATGTGTTTCAATTAGAACAGGAAAATGATTGGAAGTACCTAATGGTATAATATCAGTTTTCCAATCACACTTTAAAGTTATATCTTTAGAGCATATTGTTATATCTACAGCAGATTTATTATTACTTCCAAATCTGGGTATTAATGTTTCGCTTCCTGTATTTAAATAATTTAAGTTACACTCTGCACCGAGAGAGCACCAAGAAGCCTTGAACCCGATATATCTGAATAACTATTTCCCCATGCAGTATGATGATAATTGAAATCGCCTCATACCAAAAATGGCTTTTCTAGGCTATCAAAAAAGGTAACCCAATCTGTTTATCTAATGTTTAGTTTTGGTTTGGGTATATAGAGTATAGATGGATTTTGATATTTTTATTTATTGACACTGATACCGACACACATTCCACGGACTTTATTGGAGTAAATTTTGGCTTAGGAAAAAAGGTAAGGTATTTTCTTAATAAGATTGCAACTCCTCCATAACCGTCATTACGGTCGTGTCTAAATATATTAAAATTATTAATAAAAAAATGTGAAGATTCCTTTAACCAGGTTTTCGAAAGCCACACTACATTAATCTTATTATCGAAAATGTATTTTTCAAAGTGACCTTTATTACACAAAATTTTGTAAAATTTTAGTTGTAAGTTTTAGCATAGTATTTAACTAGTTTATACCTCTGTAGAATTCTGGCTGATTTTATCTCATTTTTGAATAGTAGAATTAGTTCGCTCGTTCTCCATTCTTCCCTAAAATTCTTTATTCGATAAAATTAAAATGATAAAACCTTTATAGTAGGTAGTTAATTTATATTTATTAATATAAAACGGAAAGTAGGTATTTATCGGTTCTTTCAACATAGACTGACAAAAATATTCGAATTAAGGCATGTCTCCAGTCAAACTGAATGGACCAAGAATCGCATTGCTGCTATTTATGTTCTAAGGTTGTTTTAGTGAGGCTATGCTGAAAGTCATTCCAAATTACAATACGAAATGTTTTTATATATAGTTTTAAAATATACATGTCATTACAAACACAAAATCCAATCATGAACCATTATTGAAATCATAATATTGAATTTCGTAGTAACAATATACTTATTATATATTATGAAAAAAATAGAGTTGTAAATATTTTTTAGTAAAATAAGTGCATAGGGTAGGAGCGATAATCTAGTAAAATAATATTTGCTATACTTTTGCATAAGTTACATTATTATACCTGCATGTATATATATAGATAAATAAAACCTAAATATAAAATAAATCACTTCTTTTAACAGCAGTCTTGCATTATGAATATAGTTCAACATCTGAGACGTCGAATTCTTCAACTGTACTCCAAGATTCTAAAACAAATAGAAAATATAAATTAATATTGAGTCTAGTCTAACTTGTCAAAGCCTACAGATGATAATTAACGTTCAGTAAAGAAATCAAAATACACTAAGTTAAACGTTTAAACTAAATATAAATTTGGTGTCAATTTAAAGCTAATTTTTGTGATATTTCAAGTGTTCAAAATGTCTTTAAATTGATTGTGTAATAATTGGTTAATCTGCTATTAACTGAAAATAACTCTGTATTTGTAACGTTATAAACGTCACATCTCTATTAATTTATATTTAAATAATTATTTCATTTTAATTTCTTTAATAATTTGTTTATCTTCAGTTAATTTTTACTATTTTTTTATTTAAAAAGTAGTTGGGGCCCTCTCTGTTCCTTTATTTCTTCCTCTGTTTTCATTTCTTCTCTGTCATTATTTACTATCTCTTTCTGTCACGTAGAATAAATATTCGCCCTCTCTCTCTCTCTCTCTCTCTCTCTCTCTCTCTCTTTATGTTCTGTGTTGACAGACAACTTAGGTTCATGAAATAGCAACAGCCTGACATCTGTGCTAACTTCATTTTAGTCTCCCACTTTCTGTCAAAACAACTTTTCTAATGTAGTGGGAATATAATTTTTTGCCTACTTTTGAACTTTATAAAAGAAGACAAAAATTATAATTATAATCTGTCTACCCAACAGACGGAGTTATCACGTGAATACCATGTGAACTCATGAAATATTATAATCATTCCTACAAATGGGCAAATTAGTCAGAATTCGTGGCAAACTATTAGTGCTATCCTCCTTACAGCGCTGGTCGACTATTCGTTCATAGTTTCGAACGGTTTGGCCCCTTGTTGGGAAGAACCACAGAACACTAATACAAGAACCACCACGTTCGCATTGAATCAGTGACGTACCAGAAAAAAAAAAAAAAAATTAAAATAAACGATTATTTTATAAAAACATGTTATGTACATCGTAATGAAAAAAAAACGTAAATTTCAATAGGATGAATTGGGAGCGTTATAAAACCTTGAGATACCGCTAAAATGTAAATAATGCGGGATATATATATATATATATATATATATATATATATATATATATATATATATATATATATATATATATATATATATATATATATATATATTATATATATATATATATATATATATATATATATATATATATATATATATATATATATATATATATATATATATATATATATATATATATATATATATATATATATATATATATATATATATATATATATATATATATATATATATATATATATATATATATATATATATATATATATATATATATATATATATATATATATATATATATATATATATATATATATATATATATATATATATATATATATATATATATATATATATATATAATATAGTAATGCGAGACTGTACGGGAAATATATATAGTATTAATTTTAAAAACAATTTCTAACATTTGGCGTAGAAGTGGACAATACAATTTTAAAATATAACCTCAATCTGACACTATAACTTCAAAATTTTTAATGCAATACAAAAATAATAGAAGTTCCTTAAAAAGTAAACAATAAAACCTGGAAATGTCTTTAACAAATGGGAAGAAATGGGAAACAAAATAATATAGGCTAACTTTAGGCAATGTGGACATTATACACATGTAAATTTAAATGTGTAGGTGATGGTAGCTTACCCCATTTGTACAACATATACGCACATCAACCATGTTGAGTTCTGATGCTTTTAAGTTGCTTTTTAGGTTGGTGTAGGTTTGATTACTCCAGCTATCATTCTCATGCTGTTATTGAGCTGGATATCAATCTTTTGAACGTGAGTACTGTTGATCCATATTGGTATGCAATATTCAGCTACAGAATAAACAAGAGCTAAGCCTGAAGACCTGAGTCTGGAAACCAATGACATTTTGTGCCCCAGAGCTTCTGAATTATGTTATTTTTGGTTTTTAGCTTCTTAGCAACTATACTTAAATATTTTTTTTTATTGAAAAATTTTTATTAAAAAACCTTTATAAAAGGTATATATTTAAAAAACCCTAACGGGCTAATTAAACAAAACGTTTTCGGAATCCATATTCCATCATCAGTGTCTAATCTTTGTTTCAAGTTAAGAAAATAACATTACGCTTATGGAGATCAGTGTTGCCAAAACTCTCGGGCAGTCTCTTTTGCACGGATGTCCAAGATATTCCCTTTGCTTAATTTTTGAATGTTCATTTTCAATTAACATTTAACTGTAAAGTCAGAATAACTACTTAATAAAAGCCTTATTATCATTATGTAGTCAGAGAACGACATATAATCGCTGACATATGCACATATGTCAGTAATTGTATTATTTTAAGTTGCAATTAGTAATTAGATATACGCATTCCATCGGTCCGTTTATTTGCTTTTAAAACTTTAATAGGCGGCAAAATGCATGATTTATCTAAGCAATATTTTCTACTGATTTATATGATTCATGGCATATGGTATTCCACCGAAAAACAGATAATTTGTCGTTACTATAATTAAAATAAGATAAAATAAAATTATCTTTTGTAAATACTATTTATCTAATTAAAATCATTTTCCCTACTTTTCATCTCTTTGGCCAATTACGTTAAAAAACATTAATTTAATTCATGTCTGTGGAAACGAAAATACAAATTATACAACCCTAAATTGTGCTTGTGTGCGTCGTGGCAACGCCGCATTTATATCGTCCATAAGAAATACATGGCGCTATCTTCGCAATGTTATTTTCTTAACGTGGAACGTAGTATAGGAGTACATGAATTTAGCCACTAAATATATGGGTAAAAAACCCGATAACAAATAATTAATTACATTTGGTATACAATATTTCTTATAATATGTTACGATGTTGAAGTTACTGTTGGATAAGGTAACATGGCGACATATGACTCCACATTGAAGTTGCTAGTCCTGAGACAGTGTGTCTACAAGGACTTTATGGAAGCAACTCATACCCAATTGCTGAGTAGCAACCCAAGACTTCATTCTGAAGCCATCTTCAAGTGATCCTTATAGAATCTCTTGAAGATGGCTTCCAGGTTCATGCTGTATACATAGACTTTACAAAGGCATTTGACCAGGTAAATCACAAGAGTTTAATCAATAAGTTGATGAGTCTGGGTATCCAGGGTAAACTTTTAGAACAGTTGTTATCCTACCTAACTGAAAGAATACAAATAGTATGTGTTCAGGGTTTTCAATAGTTTGAGATTAAGGTACTTTCAGGAGTACCACAAGAATCACACCTAGGACCTCTTCTATTCAATAACTATGTTAATGACATTGCCTCCTGTTTCCTCTTTGCTTCTTTCCTAATGTTTGTTGACGATTTAAAATTATATTTGAAAATTGAGAATGATGGTGACTATCAAAAACTACAGTCTGATTTGGATCAGTTGAGCTATTGGTGTGACAGCAATGAAATGGAACTTAATGTTAAAAAGTGTCATTTAATGGTTTTTGGTCGGAATAAAACTCCTACAAATCATATTTATACTATTAATGGTTGCCTTTTAGACTCTATCTCAGATAACAGATCTAGGTATTGTGCTTGATTATGACTTATCCTACATCCCCCATATCTCATCTGTTGTCTCAAAATCATTTTAACTTTTAGGGTTTAACAAACGTTGTGCTAAAGACTTTCTATATATCACATCCATAAAAATTTAGTATTGTTCACTTGTGAGACCCCACCTAGATTAATGTTCATGTGTTGGGTCTCCTCACTATAACACCCATATTCAAGCTATTGAGAGAGTTCAACACAAATTCTTAAGATTTGTTGCATTTAAACAAAACCAGAAGATTGAAGAAATTAACTATTCAAATATGGAAAGGTCCCTTAACATAACTCTCCAAATACGAGGCATGCATAAAGATCTCACTATGTTTTATAGTATACTGCACTCTTATTTTTGGTCCTCAACGATTGGAAAAATTTAATCTCCATGTTCCAGTAGACAAACAAGGCTAGATCAAACCTTTTATGTTAGATCACATTGCACAAACTACGGACACAATTCCTTCACATCTAGAACACCAAGGTTTGCTAATCAATATTCCCGAAGGTGGGATTGTTATAGTTATACCAAAGAATTTAAAAGTTCAGCTTAAAAACTGTGTGTGATAGCTTGATGTCCTTGTGTTTTATACATTCTTTGTTAATATTTGTTATTTACTGTTCCTATTTGTATTTTTTGTATGATTAAAATTTTTAAATTTAATTCAAGTAGGTTACAGTAAAAATCTTCTATAATTTATCAATAATGTCTTCATTGTATTTTAATTGGGCGATTACCAGTTGATAAATAAATACTACTATATTAAATATAATATCCTTACCATTTGACGCATTATCATTGTCACCTAAATCATTTTCCTGCACTGCGTTCAATCGGGGAGGAGGACGTCTAGGCATCCTTCTTGTTTGAACATTGATATCTAATTGCATTCTGACATCTAACACCATAAAACCTACTGTTATGAGAAGTGGAAGACGATACCTACAGTCCCAAGCTAGTTTCAAAAGAAACAGCAAAGGTTTCATGTTTTCCTGTAAAACTAAATAAAAAGGTGTTTGGTTATGTATTGAATATTACAAATGGTTGTTAACCAAAACATTAAAAAGATAAAGTTCAAGTATGGGAATGTAAAATATAAATCTGTTTAGGATTTAAGAACAGTTTATTATGCTTTGGTCATATCTAAAATGGAATATGTATCTATTGTATGGTCTCCATAATAACAAGTTCATTCTACTACATTGGAGAAATTACAGAACAAATTATTAAGATATTGTGCATATAAATTAAACATATGCATTATTCATCATGATTATACAGATATGTTCCCAACAAGTCTCAGATATGTTTTATATACCTTTTCACCAAACAAATTTATGGTATGCATTCATCCATTTATTTCCATTGATGAAATTCAATTGTCAGATGGATTTATATTTCAACAAAATGGCACAGCCTGCTCTACAGTGAAATCCGTAAAATCATGGCTGCAGGAAATTAATATTCCTTCTTTAAAATGGTCTTCAAACAGTCGGTGTAGAAAATTTTTAGCATCAAATGAAAAATGCACATTATCTCTTCATTTAGTTTATTTTATAATTATTGTAGTTGATAAAAATATTATATATTACTATAATAGTTAAATAAATTCTAATACAAATAAATAAAAGTGTTATGCACATTGATTTTGGTCCAATTCATATGCATCTAGGCTCGTATGTTAAGCATAATTATTTTTTCATTTAAGGATGAGTTATATTATGTGACAAGTTTAATTGTTGTAATGAATCTTGAAATACTTTCCATTTTTAATACTACAAACAGAACTAAGAAAATAGTGTAAAGGAATTTAAGCTACAAATATACAGAATGCTATTAACTGATATAATTACATTATCATTTTTATGATAACAGAAGCATTCCTAAAAGTTCTTCAAATAAATATACAACCCAATATAGGATCTTCAAAATACAACTTGGGACAATTGTAAATATTATATTAAATAAGCAACAAAATAAAATTTACCTATTAGTTGTTAATAGAGTCTGTACTCCTGTTTATGGGTGAATCACCCTCTTCATTATCTAGCTGGTCGTACTTTATGAATTCTACAATCTTTCCTCGGTTTAAAGCCTGTCTTTGAGGGGCTATGGCTCTAAGTACTTGAGAATTGGCTGTAGGTTCATCTAAATCAAGAATGTCTTCATCAAAATGATCAATACCGTTACCATTAACACCGTTAAGCAGTTGCTCCATACACGCCTCTCTCTTTGCTGCCAATTGAGTTAAAATGTTTGGGTCGTTTTTTATTTTTCTTAGTTTTTCTTCTGCAAAATCGATTATATTGTCAACATATTTTGCGATAATATTGCGCCAACTTACCTAATAATGCGAGATATTCTTCAGAATCGGGTAATTTGTTACTTAATGAGGGCGTGAAATTATCTTCAAATTCAAATTTTGTAATGTTATTTTCCGAAATTGTAATGTCTGTTTGACAACACATCCAAGGGTCCATATTGCTTATTAATTGACCTTGGCCGCATATACCTCCTGTTTCCTGCAGGAACTATTAGACTTGATTGTATTAGTAATCTAGTCCTTTCGTATGTTTTTATTTTGTCTGTTAAATTAAATTGAATAAAGGAAAATTCAAATTGTTTCAGTGGAAGGCACAAAACACGATTCAATTAAATAAAAAAACAAGAGTTCATTTGCGGTTATGTTTACAAGTAATAAAGCTTTAATAAATGACAAATTAGACGTTAAATAAATTCAGTTTAATTGCAAACAATTAAAGAATATTTTCGTATATTATAATATCCTAATCATACTTATCTTTGTATATTATTAAGTGTATAATAGGAAGATGCAACTTCAACTCAACTGAATGTATGCAACCAACAAACCATGTTTGTGCAAAATTTTTCATGGATTTCTATGAGACATTTTTGATAAATACCTCATAAAAAATATTTACTATTTAAATCAGCTCATCTTGATGAACTGTTTTATATAAAGAAAAAAATGTGATTTATTTTATTAAAATTTCATACATTACGAAATACGTTAAAAGGAGAGATGCTCCATACACTTCTGATTCCTACATTTAAAATACGTATTAATTCTATAAACCCTCTCTTTCATTAATGTTGTTAAAAGCTTGGTTCTTGGTTAGGTTAGAGTGCTCTACATTGCGTATTGCCCGTTTTATTATCTTCTATCACTAACCTTAGTTTATCCAGTTCAGAAACTGTTTCCAATAATAATTCTTGTCATTTTTCGTAACTTATTGAGGCTTCATTTTTGCACCCATTTGCGATCGATATTATATTTTCTAGTCGTTGTCTATCATTTATTTTATTCACTCTTCAGAGCATTTCATTCAATTCTTTATAAGTTTGTCTTCAACTGATTTTATATACATATTATTCAGGAATCGTCTTTGTTTCTGACCTTTTGTTCTAGGATGATCATATCCTCATTCCTCCATTCGTAAACTATTGGCCTGATCTTTGAAATTATTTCTGTATTGGAGTGCATTTTTACACTATTTTAGGTTATCTTAACCACGTCACCTTTTTTCACATTCTTACTCTAATTGTTCATTAATATTTTCATATTTTTTTATGACCCTCATTCTATAAAATAAAATATCAATCTCATAACAGTAAAATATGAAATATTTTTTGCCTCTTTTAGAAAACCTTCATCGAAAAATGTGTATTTATAACTATTAATTATAATAAATGTAACAAAAGAAATTCTAAAAAATAGGTACTTAGCCAAGGTTTTATTAGACCATTACGAAGGTGAAGGTGAAGGTCGTCAAGTTCTTTTCTTTGGCAAACAGATTGATAAGTACTTAGTTATTCAAAATAAATTGATGGATTTAAGAACCAACAAGGGAAATATTATTTAGGTGTCATATGGATGTTGATCCTTGTTTCAAATTTTTTTTTGAGAATAATTCACCTAAATTAATTTTTACATTGTAAAGGATCTGGCACTAAATTCGCGCGTTTTATTTAAGGCTGTGTTGCCAAACTTATGGCAAGGAAATATGTATGTCAAGGCAATGCACCAGAATTTTGAAAACAAACTTTTCTCTCGATTTCTGTGTTATCTTTACGTATAAGAAAATCCTTTCAATAACACTGCTAAAAGTAATTACAAAATAGACAAGGTGTTGGAAAAAAGGTAAACAAATAAAAAGAAATAATATACCAATATATGAAAGAAGTAGAAAAGTTACAAAAAGGAAAATATCGGAATAAAATTTCAATGAATATTAATAAATACAGTTGGGATATCCAAGTATTTTTAAGGTTTAACCCCCAGCCACCACCCCCCATCCCTAGGTGCGCCAGCAGCCAGAGGACAAGCAAGATCATTAAAGAAGAAGTATTAAATAGGTAGGATCAAAGAAAATAGTTAATTTCCAGCCAGTTCCAGATCAAAAGTCAAAATTTGACCATCAGTACAAAATTAATTACTTAATTTACTACTAAACAGTTGGGACTGAATTCAGGAATAGAGTGTATCTAGGTAAACTTCCTGCAGTTTATTGCTTATATAAAAAAATTAAAAGGCCGAATGTGACCTAGTACACAGTTAATAAAATTTTTTTAAATTTAATTTTATAAATCCTTTATTTTTTCTCTTTATTTGCTAAGAAATCTTGACATGCCTCACCACCAATGTAAGTTTTCTATCCACAATTCTTTTAAAATAGATATTTTACTTACGCTTTGGCAACAACGAGATGTTTTGTTTACATATGCGCGTTGGTCCAATGTGGTAAGCCGGCGTTCTACCAGCAAGAAAATACCGATCTGCACATTGCTGACTTGATTCGATTCTGAAAATTCATTATTCCGTGAGCGTTTTAAAAGAGTGGAGGTGCGCAATGGCAGCTACTGAAGTGTTAAACGGTTTGCAATTTTTCGAAGGAGTTGAAAAACTTCTTGAAATTTGGTTTACTACAAGTGATGGTAATCATAAAACAGCTGACTTGAGAAAAATACCCAGGTAATTTAGTCACATTTTAAGTTTAGATATGAGTTATTCAAAATTGTCTTACAACCGGTGTTCTACATTGATTTTTCAATGCATTTTTAATTTTGATTAATAATGACATTTTGGCCGTCAGCTGATTTTTGCATTGTTATTGTTCGTCATTTTCTGGATATCAAGGAATGTCTGGTCACCAATTTTCCATTTCAGTAAACATTTTAACTATAAGATGCGAAATGACCTACGTCGCTATAAATTTCATCAGAAAAATAAGCCATTTTAAATATAAATTTTCTTTTTTTAAGTAAACACAAAATTTAAGAATCTAAACTTTTTACCTGTAATATCACTCGTTAGATGTGGTTCTATCGTGGTCTAGCTGGTAAAGTGCTAGCTGGACGTACATTTTATCTAAGGTCTAATGTAGGATAAATGGCTAACACTAGGGAGAAGCTGATAATATTAAATATTGCATTTATATATTTTTACAATTTTTATGACAAACGTTCATTGAATATTCCATTATTTTCTTTGGTATTTGTTTACATTAGTAAGGGTCCCTAAAAATGCGAATTTTTGGTGGACTTAGCCTGAAAAATAGAAAAAAGGCGAAATTTTCGTGTTTACGTCTACAGAAACATACAAAAGTAAAAAAATGTAAAAAAAAAACTGAAAAAAGTTCATAAAAAGTATAGGAACTCAAAAATTAACAAGAGAAAAATCTTATCAAAATACGAAATAGCCTTATTAGTTATATAAAATTTATAAATAAATTGTAAATACCATGGACGTATACGTCCATGATAAATACCAATCATTTTCCTCGGTAATTTATCCAAAAATATAAAATATTGTAAAATATTTTACCAATGTTTAATCATTGTTAGGGATAACATTGCAAAAAATCAATTCAGAATGGTTTTTATGAATAAGCTGAGCACTTACGATTAGTATGATTTTTGCCAAGATTTTTCGTCTAACCCTTCATTCAATTCTTCTTCTTAGAGTGCCTGCCCGTTCCGAACGTTGGCGATCATTCTGGCTATGATGATTGTGTTGGTTGCTATATGAAATAGCTGTGTTGAGGTCTTTCTATACCATGCTCTCAGGTTAGCAAGCCAGGATATTCTTCTTAGTCCTGGGGCTCTTTTTCCTTCAATTTTACCTCGCAAAATGCATTGGAGTAGCTCGTATCTGCCTTGATTTCTCATTTCTCACTAAATATGTCCCAAGTACTGCAACTTAGGGCAATTCACGATGTTGACCAAATCCGCGGTTGTGTTCACCCTCCTTCATTCAAGTAATTTATATAAATCTTTATCCTTGGTAGAAAGTTCATAGAATTATATTTTCCAGAGTTCTTTTTCCACAACTCATAAAATACCTTCACTTTTATATTAATGAAATACTTTTACTTACACTTATTTTTTTGCAACTGGCAGGTCCATTACAAATGCAAATCTTTACTAATCTGCATTATATAGCTATGAAAATCATGGGTCATCGTTAGAAATCAAAAAGGGACAAATTTATATGTTAAATAAAATTAATGTTAAAGCCGATACATCGTATTGATATCTAACATTTAGGCAATGTGCTTAAATTGAACACTTACTGATTTAGTTAAAAAATATGGATTTCCATTTCTTCCTCTTATTCTGTGTCAGAATCGTTGTCTGCCTCGATCGGAATGATTATAGATTGACAAAGTTCTTCAATGTTATTATCAACGATCCACAATCTTCTTTTTTTTTCACGTGGTTTACGGCATTGGTCCTTTGGAATTATCTTTCTTTACGTTTTTTTTTTATGAAATTTAATAAATGTTGTTTTGACATCCTACAATTTAAAAGTTGTATTTTGTCTGGGCAATTCACCTTTTCCATATTACCTTCATTGCATTTAGTTGACAATGATAGATGGCAAACGTAATACCGTTATTCCTTTTGTTTTTTGCCATTTCGCCAATGACATATTTTATAGTACGATTTATGTTGCATTGCAATTCGTAATAATTCCATTTTAAGCATAGTCCGATCATAGGGTGTTGGGTGCCGATTCGGTATGCGGTCTACGGCAGAGTTTCTAGTTTGGTATGCGGTCTACCCTCTGATATGCGGTCTACCGCAATTTCGATATGCGAAGAACGTCACCTATCATCAAATGCTCTTGAGACACTAACTAAAATTCTATATTTGTATGTAGCACCAAAATAAAGTAACAAGTAGTTCAATGAAAATTCAAAACTTTTATGGGCTTCTTAAAGTAAATTTGTACGACAAGATTAGAGGCATTTATACATATACATTTCTAACATCGTGCAGAAAAGCGATAAACTTATCTTCTACATTTCTTCGTAGCACTTTCCACACAACATAATCCAAACGGGACTGCAAAGTACTGACAGTAACACCTCTCATTTTCTTCAAAATTGCAATTTTACCCTCCAAACAGGATCTTTTTATCTCCTATATGTGCTCCTGTTTGTGGGTCTATATAATTTTCTTGGTGGTTAACAGTTGAGTGCACGTAGTCCAATTGCTGTAAATTGCCGCAAGCTGGCCATTCGTCCGAGTGAATTACTGACCTTCCTTTAACTTCCCTTTATATGATGGGAACTAGGGTGGTTCTGTTTCTTCGCTCAACATGAAAATATCGGTCCTCCTCTTTAATCTTTAATCCGAAGACCACGGACCGTCAATTCGGCGTCCATGATTTCGATTATTTTCCATTTCAACATCACTGTCTTCTGATTCTGCTGGATGGTCTCCATTTAACATTCATCCTCTGTTGTACTTCCTTCTGCCTGCAAATCTGGCTTCCCGCAGAGGAACAGACTTCTCGACACCTGTTGTATCAGTCGCATGTAGCTTCTCTACCTCTCCCCGTTAATTTCATTACTGTGTCAAAATCGAGTTCCAAAATGAACATGAACATCAATTTTAAAATTTCACATAAAGTTAACTTGCAGTTATTTTTTCCATTTAAATCGGTGAAATGAAAAAAAAAAAAAAACGGTTGCCATGCCTAACTGATTTGGCTTCGTCTCCTTGGGCAGCGGTGAATTGGTCCATATTCACTACGTCTATTCTGCCCCACTTCGGTGGCACGGCCAAGCGTCTTCAACATTTTGTAATAAACCGTTTGCTCCTAGAAATGCTACTGCCTCTTGTTTGCTCGAAATGACAGTATTATAAAATTCTTTTAGCAACATATTGGTTGCAACTAAATTAATCTTGATTTTGGGACTCATTTTATACCAAAATAGATTTAAAAGTTTTTATATATTAGCACAACGTAATTGTGTCATAATTGTGTTTGTCATAATTTTCCTAATTTGTTTTTGCATTCCTTATTGACCAGTAATGAGTTTGTAATAGTTTCTCTAATTTGTTTTTGTACCTATTTGAGGAAGACCTAGATCGCATTCCGAATCAGCTAAACTGTCGTAGATCGCATATAAGACGGTAGACCGCATACCAAACCGGCACTATAAAAAGTCCATGTTCATCTTTACATAAATTATAACATAGTTCCAGTGTGTTTTTGCTTTATGGTTAGCAATAGTTATAATACAGTACATTTTTCAAATCCACACTGCGTGCCTTTTCGCGTGCGTTTAGACATATGCCGCAGCACATACCTTCTCACCGAAGTGTATGCGCTAGCTCATAGCGGCTTCCCACGATCGGCGATTCTAAAGATCATCACACACAGCCGATGAGTACGGACGGCAACGACCGCAGACAAAGCTCTTCCTACGGTCCGTGACAGTCTGTGTAGGTCCGTCTCCGTTCGGCTCGCGGAGATAAGAATACGACCGAGGCCAGAAGATCCTGCCTGTCGTAAGAGGCGACTTATGGATAGGTAAAATGCGAGGTGGAGAGCTGTCGTTTGAGGTGTCGGGTCTGTAGAAACGCATTCGAGATGCATAGCCATCTCGGTCACTGGTCTACACTCCTAGTATCCGAGACGAGCATCTCGTGGGACCACTCTACTGTCATTCCACAAGAGCCAGGTGAGGTTGAACTAGCTGGGCCCGTAAATACCTCCCACGGCCTTACACCACGGAGGGTGGTGCCGGTGTCCCGGCACGTACCTATCTGGAATGATTTAAGAGTGGTAGAGGAGTGATCCTCGGCAGTGACCTGTCTGCGTGCGAGGTGGAATACCTCCGCCTGCGTCATCTTTCTGTCCGGGGGATCTCCGGACGGGTGAATTACTCGCAACACAGGTACTACGGGTAAAGTGGAGCCCCACGATGTTTCGGCATCGTGCCACCTTAGTTGGTGTCGGACTCGTAGGGGCAGTGGAGTCGCTTACGGTCGTATGCCGAAAGGCCAGGAAGACCAGGGTCCAGCCAATTTTATAATTGGAGGGTCACGAACTTGTCAATGTGTAGGTCTTTGACAGTAGTGTTTGATTTAACGTTATTTCAAAATGCCAAGTGAAAAAGAACGTGTCGTTGCTGCAGCTGCGGTTGTGGTATGAATTAGTAATTACCATATTCATTATGTTATTGAATTGTGTCTCTTCTTTTTAAGTCGTTAATCGAAATAGTACTATTCTTCATTTGATTTTAATCCGGTTCATTGGTACATCGTATATATCGTTCCGGTTCTTATGCTCTGGCGCTGTAGAATTCGATAAACTGGGTTATTTTGATACAAATTTTAAAAATCAAAAATAACTTCGTTTGTCTATTCCATTTTTTAGCAAAAAACTTCGGATCTCGTTGCACGGGCTTATACCGCACCTTTTATGTTACCGACTCTCGATGGATACGACGCACCAGCACAGACGTGTCTGTGCTACCACGGACAAGACATTTCTCATTACCCTCGCACCCATGGCATCCAAGGCATGCCTCTTTACAGTCCTGAATTCGGTTTTTCAAAGCGGGCGCACGTAGTTTTATGATTTACAATTTACATTTTGCATTTCATAAAATATCATTATCAAGGCAAGAACCCTTGAGGAAATGATATCTTATACTCAAAACGTGAGTAAATATA